GGGGTAGCCGCGAGCTAGGGGAGAGCGGCCGGGTCAGCTGGGCGGGGGCTCCGAAGCTGGGGCCCGCCCCGTCCCGCCCCGGAGGCGGGCCCGCGGGGCGCTCGTAGCGGCGATGCGCGGGCGGCCAGGCGCCTTCCGCTCCCAGCAAGTACGCGCGCCGCCGGGCGCCGGTTGGGGGACGCCCGGGAAGACCATTGGGCTTGTTTCCGGGGGCCGAGATGCCGCCACTCTGGAGTTTCGGGAGTCCTCTTCCCACCCCCAGCGAAGGCATGGACTTGCAGTAACTACTGGCCTAAATGCAGGGCGCAATAAATGTTCCTCCTGACTGGAGTCCACGTGTCCAGGTGTCCAAGTGTCGCTCAATTCTTTCAGGATTTACAGGGACACCTGGGCTCTGTTTGTGAGCTCTGCCTGCCTTCTGCGGACCAGCAGCCTTGACATCACCCAGGAGCTGGTCAGAAGTGCAGAATCTCTGTCCCCCCAAACTCAGACCTGCTGAGTGAGAATGTGCATTTTAAAGGACCCCCCCCCGTCCTCCCTCCCCCACGCCCCGGGATCCCTTCGAAGGTTCGAGTTTGAGAAGCCCGATTCTGGGGCACATTTCTTCCAAACTTCGGTGAGAGTCGGCATCGTGCTTAAAGCTTGGGCTCTGTGCAAGGAAGCAATGGCATTGTGGCCTTGGGAAATGACTTAACCTCTCTGAGCCCGTTTGCTGGAAAAAAATGGGGGTAATAATAGCACCTAACTCCTAAGGTTGTTTGAAAGATTAAATGTGACATTTCAGGAAAGCGCCCAGCACTACACAGTGAGCACTAGATAGGTGTTCTGTCTTCATCAGCAAATGTGTTGAGCACCCATTAGGTGCTACACCCTGTGCGAATGTGGAGACGAATCCAGCTCCTTTGCAGCCCTTCCAGGAGCAGCTGCCAGCACACTATGAGCCACACAATATCAGCAACTCAACATTCACAGAGGTCCCACTACCAGCAAAAGACCTGCTTGGTCTTCCCCCACTGTCATGAAAATGGCAGTTCTCCCCTGACCCTGACCTCTCCAAAAAGCAACTGTAGTCCTGGGAATTCAGGAAACTCACATCCTGAGCCCAACTCTACCACTAACTTGTTCTAGAGCTAGAACTCTAGAACTCCTGACTGTTGCTCAGGACTTCAGTTACCTCATCTGCAAAATGAAGAAATTGGATCAAATTATCATTAAGGTCATCTTTGACCTCCCTACACAGCTGTGGTCACAAATTCAGGGAAACCATTGCAGGGGACACTACTTAGTTTATAGCACAAGGTGTGTAACCAGGGCTGGATGTCTCCTTCCTCGCAGCCCCATCCTGTGCCTTCCCACCCCTCCCAGACACCACACCTTTTCCTGCTGGTGTTGGTGGCACCTGCATTCCTGGCAGGTGGGAAAGCTTCAGAGCCTCGGCCCTCATCTTGACTTGGACCTAGGTTAGTTTTCAAAAGAGAGGCCTAGGGACAGCCAATCACGATCTGCAGCTCCTCCTTCTTCCCCAAGACTTGTCCTTGATGTCATAAGTGGGTAACTATGACAACCCATCATGGGGACAACTAAGTACCTCACAGAGGAAGCTGGATGCCTCATTTCTGAAGTAAGACTAGGAAGAGAAGATGAACAATTCCCTGGATTATCTAGCCTACCCTGTAATTGTCTCTAATCATAGGCAGAGCACATCATTCAGGAAGAAACTGGACTTTGGCCACTATGCATTTCATAAGAATAGAATACAAATAGGTACGTGGGGCAATTTGGACTGGACACTGTGATTAGGGTTCTGGAAGGGCCCGCCTTAGAGATAGTGACAATAAACCAGGCCAGTACCTGACTTTGCAGTGATATGGCCTTATCTGCTGAATCTGGTCAAGAGGGCATTAGCGTCAGTGACAAAATTTATCTTCCACCAGGGAGTTCATTGATGGAAATGCTCGTTTAAACTCTTTAAAGCCAAAGTAACCTAGACAGAGGATAAGACTTCAGCACCCAAAAGCCAGGCCAGTTGTATTGGAAAAGGGTGGGAGACAGGCCCTTTCATTGGATTCAAAGGACATTTATCTCTGTAAATTTTGTTTTTTCCCAGCCCTCACCATTCTTGTATTTCTGCTCAAAACTCTTCAAAAGATGTCAGTTTGGGAAATCATACTAAACCAAAATTTCTGACCTGGATTAGTTCAGAATTCAAAGTTGTAATGTTTTAAGCAGGGTCATTGCCTAGAATGTGAAGTAGCTAAGAGGACACCTGTGATGTAACATTGCTCTCTTTCCTTCCTCTCCAGTGAAGCCTACTGTTGACACCAAACCCCCAGCGGCGCACACACATCACATTTTAAAATTGAGCAAACTTCAGGTATTCGTTCTTGCCATCTGCCGATGTACCTTACTGATTTTTATCCATGTCCTAAAGAGATCCAGTTTCCCAGAG